CAGGGAGGCCGGGAGACGGGCGAACGAGCGGAGACGGACAAGGGAGGGGGAAAGGGCCGGGGGGGCGGCAAGGGGAGCAGAAAGGGGGGGGCGGCGACGGGCGCGGCGGGGGGCGGGCGAGAGACGAAGGGGCCACGAGCAGAAGGGGGGGGGCGCCGGGGCGCAGGAACCGGGGGAAGGGGCGAACAAAAGAGCAAAGGGGGCGGCAGGGAGAAAAGCAAGAGGAGCGACGGACCGGGAGGGGGACGGGGGGGCGGCCAGGAGAGCGGGAGGGCGAAGGCAGGAACAGCAGCAGCGGGGGCCGGCAGGGCGAAACGCAGAGGCGGGAAGAGCACGAAAGAAGGGGCGGGGACAAGAGGCGGAGAGCGCGGGGAGCGCGCAGAGCCGGAACCGGCAGAGCCCAGGAGAGGGGAAGCCGCGGAGAACGGGAGAGGAAGGGCCGGGGGCGAAGAGGGGCCAAGGGCAGGAAGGGCGCCAAGGAGGGGGAGCAGGCGAGCGGCCAGAGCAACAAGGGAGGCAGGGGAGAGCAGGGGGAAGGCCGCGAACGGCGGCAGAGCAAGAGGGAGCGGGGGAGCGGGGCGGGGGCAGCGCCGGCGCCGAGCGGAGGAGAGGAGCCCAAAGGGCGGGGCACGGGGACAGGGGCGCAACGGGGGGAAGAGGGGAGCAGCAAGGGCGGGGAACAGAAGAGCGGGGCAAGGGGGGCAAGAGGGGCCGCGGGCGAGCAGCCGAGGGCCAGGCCGGGGGGGCGGGGGGACGAAGGGGGAGCAGCCGGGAGAGAAGAAAAGCCGGAGGGACGGGCAAGAGGGCGAGCGGGCAGGGGAGAAGAACGGCCCACAGGGCAGCGGGGAAAGCGGAGAGAGGAACCGGCAGACGAACGGGCCAAGCAGCAAAGGGAGCAAGCGAGAAGAAGAGAGGGGGAGCGAAAGCGGGAGGCAGCGGCGCGGGGGAGACGAGAGACAAAGAAGCCAAGGACACACACGGGGGAAGAGGGAGCGGCCGAGCAGGCAGAAACAAGGGGACCCAAGAGAGGCAACGGAGCGGGGAACAGCAAAGGAGGACCGAAAGAGAGCAGCCGGCGCGGAGACCAAGGGGGGGCCCAAAAGAGGGAAGGGGAAAGGCGAGAGGGGGGGGGGGGGGGGAAGAGACGGGCAAACGGGGAGCACAAGAGACACAAGGGAAGCCAGAGAGAAACCAAGACGCGGAACGAGAGGGGGAGAGGCAGGGGCACAGCGGAAAGAAAGAAACGAGACGGGGGGGGGGGAGAGGGGGCAAGAGGAGGCGCGGGAGAAGCAAGCAAGAGCAGGAAGGAAAGAAAGCAGGAAAGAACACAAGGCAAGGGAGAGGGGGGCGCGAGGGGGGGAAGCCGCCGACGCCACGGGCGCGGAGCGCCAAGAGCAAGGCACGAGAGCCACCACGGCGGGGGGCCAAGAGACAAGGAAGGCCGGGAGCGAGGGCGGGGAGCACCAAGCCCACACGAAGCACGCCCAGGGCCACCAACACGGCGGCGGCGGGGGGCACGGCGCCGCGGGACGGGCCCAGGAGGGCACGACGCCGCGGGACGGGCCCCCCGGCGGCGACGAGCCGGGAGAAACGGAGCGGCCGGGAGCGAGGGCGGGGAGCACCAAAGCCCGCACGAAGCACGCCCAAGGGCGGCCGACACGGCGGCGGCGGAGCGCACAACGCCGGGGGACAAGCCAGGAGGGCACAACGCCGGGGGACGGGCCGCCGGGCCCGGGGGGGCGCCAAAACAAGGGGGGCCGGGCGGCCAACGGGGAGACGCGGGAGAGGAGCGGCGAGGGAGGCGCGGAGGCGCGGGAAGGGGAGGAAGAGGGGAACACGCGGGGAGAGGGCGGGGCGAAGCGCGGGAGCACGCGGAGGGGGAGCGCACAAAGAAGAGAGCAAGGGAAGCGCGGGAGAGGGAAAGCGGGCGGGTGGAGAGGGAAATGCGGCGGGGAAGGGGGAGGCGCGGCGGGGACGCGGGGCGGGGCGCGGCGGGCGGCGGGGCGGCGGGGGGGCACCCCGGCGGGCAAGCGGCAAGCGGCAGCCGAGGGAGAGCGGGGAAGGAAAGAGGCCGGGGGAGAAAACGGGCGCAGGGGGAGGGCAGCGGAGCGGAGAGCCGGGGGCAGAAGGAGAAGAGAACGGGGCAGAGAGGGCAAAGAGGGCGAGGCAAGGGGACGCGGGAGGGGGGCGCAAAAAGGGCGGCCCAGAAAGGCCAGCGGGGGAGAGCACGCCGCGGGGGAGGGAGCGGCAAAGAGAGCCCAGAGAGGAGAGACGAGGAGGGGGGCGGCGGCCACGGCGGCGGAGAGGGGCCGCGGGGACGCACGGCGGGGGCGGGGAGACGGCGGCCAGACGGCAGCGCGGGCAAGGGACGGGGGAAGCGCGGCCCGGGGAAACGGCAGCCCGGGCGAGGGGGGGAAAGGAAAGCGCGAGCCCGGCGAGAGGGGCCAAGGGAAGGAGCCCGGACGGAGGGGGAGGGCAAGCGCATCCCGGGCAAGGTAGAGCGCCAAGGGGATAGTGAGGAGCCCGGGAAAGTCGCAGCCGGGCAATGGAAAAGGGCGGCGCCGGAGAGAAGGAAGGGGGAACTGCAAGCCGGCAACGGAAAGGGCCAGCCCGAGGGCAGGGCGGGAGACCATAGGGGGAAACGGCAGCCGCACGGGGAAAACGGCGCCGGAGGCGGGGGTAAGCGCGCCGACGGGAGGAAACGGCAGCGCAGCCGGCGGGCAACGCGGAGGCAGGGGGAAAAGCGCTGCCGCGGAGGACGTGCCGGAGGCAGGGGAAGGCGCCGCGGGGACGGAACGACCCGAGGGCAGCCAGGGGAAAGCGAGCCCGGAGCAAGGGCGAAAGCGCAGCGCGGGGAACCGGGGGGCATGGGGAGGGCCAGCCGGGGCGCAGCCCGAGGCAAGGGGGAAAGCGCAGTCGGGACGGCCCGGAGGCATAGGGGAAAAGCGCAGGCCCGGGGAGGAACGGCAGCCCGGGGGACGGCAAGGGGGAAGCGCAGCCGCGGGGACGAGCGAGGGCAAGGGGGAAAGCGCAGCCGGGGACGGGGGCAAATGGGCAGGCCCGGCGGCCAAACCAGCGCCGACCAGCGCGCAGACGGGAGAGGAGGGAAGGAAACGGGGCGGCGGGAAAAGAGGGGGAGGGAGAGGCAAACCGGGAACCGGGCACAGAAGAGGGCAAGCGGCGACCAGCGCGCCGGACAACCGGGGGGAGCAGCGGGGGGCACGGGGGACGCCGGGCGGGCCAGAGAGGGGAGCGGCAAGAGAGCGGCAGGCAAACGGCAAGGCACGGGCGGGCGCGGCGGCGAGGGCGGGGAGGGGCGGGAGGGAGGCGGCAGAAGGGCAGAGCGCAGACAGCGGCCGCGGGGGGGGCAGGGGCGCGAGGCAAGGCGGGAGGGGGGCGGGAGAGCGGCGGCAGCCAGGGCCGCAACGAAGGAAGGGAGGGCCCGGGCGGGGGCGAGGACGCGACGGAGGCGAACCAAAAGAAAAGGGGGAGCGACGAGGACAAGAGGCAGAGCAAAAGCGAGGACAAGAGGGAGGGCCGGAAAACGCCCCGCGGCGACGAAGCGGCCGGCATGGCGACGCGACGACGGCTCGGGACGGCGGAGGCGGGGGGGCGCGGCACGGCCCGGGGGGGGGCGGGGGCAGGCGGGAACGGGGGGGGCAGGGGGCGGAGGGGGAAGGAGAAGAAGAAGAAAGGAAAGGGGAAGGGAGGGAGGGGGGAAAGGGCGGGGAAAAGGAGGAGTGAATGGGGAAGGGAGGAAGGGGAAAGGGAGGGGGAGAGGGAAGGAAAAGGGAGGAGGGGCAAGAAAGAAAGGAGGGAAGGAGGGGAAAGGGGGGAGAGGGAAGGGAGGGCCGGAGGGGGGGAAACGCAAGGGGGACAAGGAAACATGGGGGCGACGGGGAAAGCCGAAACAAGGAAGGAGGGGGGGAGGAGGGGCGAGGCGCAACGGCAAGAAAGACGGGGGAAAGGGAGAGGGGCTGCATAAGAAAGGCGGGCAAGAAGAACGAAGGGCAAGGAGGGCGAGAGAACCCAACCACGAGGCGGCGGAAGATGGGGAACGAGCCGCACAACGAAACGGACGAGGAGGAAGATAAGGGGAAGGGGGGGGAGGGCCAAAGAGGGAGGGGGAGAGCCCCCAAGGGGATGGCAGAGTGGCGTGGACCAGGAGCCGGGAAAGAGGGAAAGGGGACAAAGGAGATGACACAGGGGGCACGAGAGGAGGGACAGCGGGAGAAGGAAGGGGGAGGGGGGAGGGAAGAGGAGCGAAGAAGAAGGCGGGAAGAGAAGAGAGAGAGAGAGAGAGAAAACGAGTAATAGAGAACGGACGAGGACATGGAGAGAGATGAGAGAGAAGGAAGGGGGAAAGGAAAGAGAGAGAGTAGAGAAGAGAGAGAAGAGAGAAATGCCACGGGAGGAGAGAAGAGAAGAGAGAGAGAACGGAGGACGAAGAGAGCGCCCCGCAAGGGGGGGTGGGACAGGGGGAGCAAAAGGGAGCGGAAGGGTAAGAGGGCGCAGGACGGGAGCGCCAAAGAAGTAGGAGGGGGGGGGAAGGCAGGGGACCGAGGGGAGAGAAGGGGAGAAAGGCAGGGGGCCGAGGGAAAAGGGCAGGCGGGCCGCCGCCGGAGGAGGAGGCGTGGGAAAGGGGGAGCAAGGGCCAGGGGGCGAAGGTCGAGGGGGGGACGGGAAGGGCCGGAGCCAGAACGCGGGAAGCGATGGAGGGAGGGGTAGAGAGAGGGGGAGGCAGGGGAGGGAAAGAGGCGGCGAAGGGACGGGGAAGAGGGGAGAGGGAAGGGCGAGGGAGGGCGACGAGTTGAGGGAGGGATTTGAGAAGAGGGGCGAGAGGAGGGAAGGGGGCGATCAAAGCGAGGCGAAGAGTGGAGAGCAACGGAGGTGAAGGAGGACGGCACGGAGGGAGAAGGGGTCGCGGGGAGAAGAGGGGCCGAAGGATAAGGCAACGCGGGGGCGGGGGGGGGGAGGGTAGTGGGCGGGGGCCGAGGCCGATGGCCGGCGAGGAAAAAAGCGAGAGCGGGGGCGGAGAGGAGAGGAGGGAGGGGAAAGGAAAACCGGGGCGGAGGGACCGACAACGAAGGAAACAGAAGGAAAGTAAGGGCACGACAAAGACGGCAAGGGCAGAGGAAGGACGGAGGAATCAAGGAGCAAGGGGAAGGCGGGGGGGAGCAGGGATGAACCAAGGGGGCGGGAGAAGGGGGCGAGAGAGCATGGGCAGGGGCGGGAAGGCGGGCAAGAAAGGGCGGGGGGAGGGGAAAGGCCGCGCGGGAGGGGGGCGGGATGGCGGAGAGAGGCCAAAACCCCCCGACCGGGAAGGGCGAGCAAAAAGGGGAAACGAGGGACGCTGCGGGGGACGCGAGCCGGACGCCGTCGACGACGGTGGAAGGGGGGAAGGGGAGCCGACGATCAGCGCACAGAAAACAGAAAAACAGAGGAAGAGGCCAGGAAAAGAGAAGAAGAAGAAGCATGCCGAAAGGAAGTAATGGGGGCGGGTACGAAAAGGACAAACGGGAGAAGAAGAGGAAAGGATATGAATTTGCACGAAGGCGACGCACAGAAGCATAGCCCAGTTAAGAAGGGGGGAAGAAAAGGAGAGGAGAAGAGGGCAGGAAGGGGACAGTGGACGGGAGCATACAGCGAGGGAAAGAAAGGCAGGACAGCAAGAGGAGAGGGGGAAAGGAAGCAAGAGAGGGGGAGGGACGAGGGAGGTAGGCGGGAGAGGGAGGCGAAGGGGCGGGCATGGGGAAAGCGCATCAGCACAAGGGGGACAACGGAAAGGGAGATAGCCTAAAGCGAAGGAAAGCCGAGGGAGGGGGGAGCCGGATGGGCAGCAGGAAGGGAAAGGGGGAGAGGGCGAAGCCAGGGAAAGGGGACGCGAGCGGCGAAGCAGGAAGGAGGAGCCAAGGGTAAAGGGGGAGAAGACAGGGAGGGGAAGGAGAGGCAAGACCAGGGAGAAGGGAGAGGAGATGGGAGTCAAGAGGGGGGAAGCAAGGGAAAGCACCAGGAGGAGAGGGGCGAGCCAAGGACAAGGGAGAAAGGCAAGACCAGGGAGAGGCGGGAGGAAGAGGGCGGAGCAAGGCGGGGAAGCAAGGGAAAGCGAGGAGGAGAGGTGGGAGCAAAGGGGAGCAAGGGAAAGCACCAGGAGGAGAGGGGGAGCAAGGACAAGGGAGAATAAAGGCCAAATGGGGGGCCAAGGACAAGCCAAGGGAAAGGGGGGGGCAAGGACAAAGGAGAAAGGCAAAGGGGGAGGAAGGCAAAGCCAGGGGGAAGGACAGGGAGAAGGGACAGCCCCAGACAAGGAAGAAGAGGAAGAAAAACGGACAGGGAAGAAGAGGCGCACAAGGAAAAAGACGAGGGAACGAGGAGGGAGGAAAGGGAAGAAGAGGGGGAAAGCCCAAAGAGACAAGGACCACGGCAGAGCGGAGCAGAGAAGCCAGGCGACACAAAAGGAGACCCAGAAGGCCCACGCAACGGAAAACCAGAGGAAGAGCAGAGGAAGGGGGGGAACCAGGGACAGGAAGGGAAGCGCGACAACGGCGAGCCGGAGCGGGCGGACAGCGGGGCAGAAGAGAAGAGAAGAGCGCGGACAAAAGAGACAAGAGGGCAAAAAGGAGAGCGGCGCGGGCCAACGGACAGAGGCGCAGGACCAGCGAGAAAAGGAGGAAGAGAGGAAGACGGGAAGAGAGAAGAACGAGAGAGCAAGAGAGCGAAGAAGAGACACGAAGCAAAGAGCAAAGAGCAAAAAGCGCAGGGGGACAGAGCAGACCAAAAAGCGGCAAGGGAGAAGGGAGAAAAGAAAAAGAACGCAGAGAGCGGCAAAGAGAAAAGAGGCGGAGAGGCGGAAACAGAGCAAAACAGAGCAGAAAAAGCAAGGGCGGGACGGGAGACACGCAAAGAGAGAAAACACGCAGAGCGAGCAAGAGAAAGCAGGCCAGAGGGGGAAGCGGCAGCAAAGAGACCGGCGCAGCAGGGAAGAGCAACGACAGAGGCGCAGAAGGGGAAGCAAGACAACACGGGGGGGGAGCAAAACAAGAGAAGGGAGGAAAGGAGCACGGAGCGGGGAAAGCCGGGAGGGGCACACGGAGCGGGGAGAGCCGAAGCAGCAGGGCGGAGGCACGGGCGGGAGGAGGGCGGGCGGGGGAGCAAAGCACGAGAGCACGGGAGACGGGGCGACCGGAGGGGGGAAGACGGGGGGGAAAGGAACGCGGAGGCGGGAAAGCCGGGGAGAGGAGCGCGGCGACGGGAAACCCGAAGCAGCAGGGGGGGGGCACGGGGCGGGAGGAGGGGCGGGCGGGGGAGCAAAGCACGAGAGCACGGAAAGGCAGGGGAGCGGGGAACCAAGAAGGGGGAGAGAGAGGGAAGGGCGCGGGGAGAGAAGAGCAAGGGGAGGAGGAGGAGGACACCACCGCGCGAACCACGAGAAGGGGCGGGGGGGCGGGACGGCGGGCGGGACGGACGGCGCGGGACAGAAGGGCGCGACACGAGAGAGACGGCGCACACAAGCGCACACACACGGGAGCGGGAGGGAAGGCCGCGGGGCACCAGACGCGAACAAGCGAGGAAGAGGGGGGGGAGCGCGGGCGGAGCAAGGGGGGGGCGGGGCGAAAAAGGGGGAAAGGCGAGGCACCCCCCCCCCCCCCCCCCCCCGCGAGACGGGCACCGGACCGCGGGGGGGACCAACAAGGGGGAGCAGAGCCGGGAGCCGAGGGGAGGCAGGGGAGGACCAACCGGGGGAGGAAAACACGGGGCCCGAAACGGGGGGGAACGGGGGGGACGGCGAGGCGGAGCCAGGCGACAAAGGGGGGGAAGGGGAGGAAGCGGGCAGAGCGCGCGGGAGGAGGAGGAAGAAAGAGGGAGCGCAAAAGCGAGGAGGCGCACGGGAGAAAGGGGAGGAGGGGAAAGGGCGGAGGCAGGGACACGGAGCGGCCGGACACGAGGAAAGGGGGGAAGGGAGGGCCACGGGCCCGAGAGAAAGAGGAAAAAGCAAGACGGCGGGGGGGAGAGCCCCGGAGGCCGCCACAGGACGGACAAAAGCCGAAAACCGGAAGGGACAGCGGAGGAGAGAACGCGGAAGAAGCGGGACAAGAGGGCCAAGGAGAGGCGAGGCAAAGCCGGAGAGGAGACAAGAGGGCCGAAGAGCCGAAAGGGGGCGACGGCCAAAGAAAGAGGGGAAACGCGCAGCAAGAGGGGCCGAAGGAGAGGAACAAGAAAAAGACAAGAAGCGCACAAGCGCCAGGAAGAAGGGCGAAGAGGGCAAAGGCGCGCAAAGGAAAGGGGGCCAGACAGGGAAGCGCGAAGGAGCAAAGGGCGGGGAGAGAGGAGGGAGCGGGGCAAAAAGAGGAGCCAAAAAGAAAGGAAGCGCAAAAGCCGACGAGGCGGACAGCGGCAGGGGAGAGGAAGGGGACGGCGAGGCGCGAGCACCGAGAGTCGAAGAAGGGGGGCAACAGACAAAGGAGGAGGGAGCGAAAAGCAGAGGAGGGCGAAAGGAAGGCAAAGAGGAGGAGGGCAGGAAGCGCGAAAGGCGGCGCGAAGGGCCCGAAACAAACCGGCAACCGCCAGGGCAGGAGAAAAGAAGGGGGAGGGGAGGACGGACGAACAGGGGGCGCGGGGGGGAAAAAGAGGAGAAAGGGGGAGGCGAAAAGGAGACAACAAAAAGGCGGCGGGGGGAAAAGGCAGCGCGCGCAGAACACAAGAAGAAAAAGGCGAAGAAAAGAAGGAGGGAGGCGACAAGGGCCGCAAACCCGGACAGGGGAAAAGAAAGGGGCCAGAGCCGAGCGGGAGCAAGGAGCAAGGCAAAAAGGGGGAAGCGACGCCGAACAAAGCCGAAAGCAAAAGGGGCAAGCGGGACAAAAGAAAAGCGCGCGGGGCAACGAACCAAACGAAAAGGAGGAGGCGGAGGAGGCAGCAGCAAGCGAGGAAAGCGCAGGGCGGAGGAGGAGACGAGCGCGAAGAGGCAAGGCAAGGGAGGGGAGGACAAGGGAAGAGGGGCGGAGGGCGCGGGAAGCAGAGGAAGAAGAGGGAACAGCGAAGGCGGGCAAGGCGGGGAAGGCGGCGGGGCGCGGGAAGCGAGGGACAAGCGAAGGCGAGAAGGGCAAGAGAGGAGGCGCACGCAGCCGCAACGCAAGGAGCGCAAGAAGAGGCGAAGGCGGGAAAAAGAAGAAAGGAAGAAAAAGGGCAAGAGGCGGGACGGGAAGGGAGGAAAGGGAAGAAGGAAAAGAGGCAGCGGCAAGAAGAGGGGAAAGCAAGAGAGGGGAGAGAACAGAAGCGGAGAGCGACGAGGGCGACGGGCACGAAGGCGGCGAAAAGGAGAGAGAAAAGGGGGAGCAGGCAAAAGCCAGCAGGAGAGAGAACCGGAAGGGGGAGGACGCCACAGGGGCGCAAACCCCGCAAAAGCGGACGAAGGCGACGACGACGGGAAAGAAGAAAGGGCAAGGGGGAAAAGGGGGGAAAAGGCAGAAGAGCACGAGGAGACAAGGACGGGGCGAGCAAACAAAGCAAAGGGGAAGGGGGAAAGGCCGAAACAAGGGGAGGAGACGGCAAAGCAACAAAAAGGCAGCAAGCAAAGAGAGGCCAAAGAGGCAAGGGCAAAAAGAGGGCAGAGAAAAGAGGGAAGCGGGGCGAGAAAGAAAGGGGGGAGAGGGAGCCCACGCAAAAAGAGGGGGGGGGGGCAAGAGAGGGAAGGGGGGGAGAGACCAAAGCAACCAGGCGCGGCCCAGGGGCCAAAAGAGAAAAGAAGGGGCAAAACCCGGCGCCAAAAAGAGGGGAAGGGAGGGAGGAGGAGCGGGGCGCGAAGGGGGACAAAGCGCCGCAGCGGAAGGCAAGAAGAGCAAGGGGGGGGGGGGGACCAAAAAGCACGAACAGGAAAGGACCCAAGCAAGGAGGGGGACCGAAAGGGAAGGAAGCGGGGGCAGGAGGGGGGGACAGCGAGAGGGGGCGCACGCCACAGGACGAGAAAGAAAGCAGAGCGAGGGAAGGGCAAAGAAAGCGAGGGACCAAAAGGGAGAGGCGGAGGAAAGCAAAAAGGAGGGAAGGACAAAAGGAGGGGCACGAGCAAGAAAAAGGGGGGGAAGAGGGAAGAGGGGGGAAGGAGGAAAAGGGAAGGGGGGAGCACGAGGCAAGGGGGGAGAAAGGCGAGCGGGGAGAAGGGGCGAAAGAGAAGGGCCGAAGCAAAAAGGAGCGCACAAAGGAGAGGGGGAGCGGGAAAAGGCGAAAGAACAGGAGAGAGGGGGGAGGGGAGCACAGCAAAGAGGCAGGGGGCGGAAGGGCCAGAAAGGCGAAGGAAGCGAAGGGGGAAGGGCACAGAAAGCGCAACCACGGAAACGGCAAGACGAGCAAGCAGCGGGCAAAGAAGAAGCGAGGAGAAGGCGGGCCAGAGAGGAGCGGCAAGAAGGACCAAGGGGAGGCAGGCAACGCGGAAAGCAAAGCAAAGCAGCAGGCAAAGCAAAGACACACGAGGCAACGGCAAGACCGCGAAGC